AATTTAAACTAAAATATATATTAATCTTAGTCAAACCAAGTAGGTTGAACAGTGACTTGGCCGAACATAAACCTACCAAGCTTAGCTGAGTCAAACACCAAGAATTATTTAAAAAAAAAACAGTGAACCAACATTGTTTAAATAAAAAAAAAATAATTAACTTAGTAACTTATGAGCATTTATAAGATAATTTTAACAATTCAATAATTTAAAATATTTTATAAATCTGATCTCAAATCAAATCTAACAACTATACATCAAAACATTGTTGCTAAGTTGAGGGGATGCTTCATTTTCATTAATAAGATTCAGATCTCGTGTTGAACCATATAAACTTTTATAACTATCCATATTTCTAGAGTCAAACCTCGTTCTCAAAGCTAAGACAGGCAAATTCCTAGAGTTCCCTGCGGTTTTTGTTTTGGAACAAGAGACATTAATGTTATTTAAATTACAACAACCATTGTTTAACACATGTTTACTACCAGTTTTAATTTTCATCTGGTTATATTATAATTATTTTTAATTAGTTTTAATTTTTATTTATAAAAATAATTAAACTGAAATTTTATATGATAAAACTAAAACCAAACTGAAATTTATTTAAATCGACTAGTTTAAGTTTAAATTTGACTTAATTATTTTATATTAAAAATCAAAATTTAACCAATTGATTCAATATAATTCGGTTAGTTTATATTAAAAATAAAAATTTATATTATTTTAATTTTTCAATTTTTTTTCCTCGCTTCTAAGTTATATGTCTCACTATACAGAAAATTGTTGGGCTGATTTAGCTCGATTATTTATATATAAAAAAAATTGTTAGTAATTTGACCACATCAATACTTGTACAATGATGAATATTTTTATTATTCTAATTGGACTATTATCTGTGAACTCGTAGTATATCTCCTGATAATAAGAAACGTAGACTAGAATTGTATCTCATTCGAGATAAAAAAACACAATTTATCTCCAAACCTCTTCTAAATTAAAATGATATTTTATTATTTTAATTTATTATATATTTCAAATATTTATCAAAACATCCCCCCTAAACCCAATTAAAGAAATTTAGAATTATTTTGTGATTGGAATTGATCTAAGGAAATTCATATCTTAAACTAAAATATATTAAAGATATGAAATTCTTAATGCTCTTGATTTTTTAAATAAATAAAATAAATTAAAAGATTCTATCGTGTGATTTCATAATTTTGGTAGCAAAGATTTTAATTAAAAAAATACTAAGAGCGTAAATGATATAGCTTATCTTTTGTACCATTATAGATTCTTAAATAATTTAAGAGACCTATGATACATTTGATTTAGAATTATTATTTTTCTTTGTTATGATCTTATGACGCTCACAAGAAATATGCATGGTTTTTCGATAAATAATAATTTTACATGGTTTGACTCGACCCATTCAAATTATAGGTTTGATTCAAGAAATAAGCATGGTTAGAAAAATAGTTAATTGTATATCTCTAGGCTAAGCTAGGCAAATTCTAGGCCAAGCACCATTCAAGTTCTTTGCTTCACACCATTTCATTCTATATCTCTTTCCCGTATATTATTATTTCCCTCTTATATTTACTAAATTAATTATAAGATAGTCTTGTGATCTACCAATAAACTTATTTTTTAAAAATAACCAAAACTATAGACAAGATCAACATTTAAACCCATCATTTTCTAGTCAAAGATGCAACTAAGAAAGGCCCAGTTAAATCCTGAAGTTTTCGAGACTCCATCAATGTTGTTGTACTTGAAAAATTAAATAACATTTAGTTCACTCTCTCTTACCTACTATATATACTTTTATAATACTAACAAAACTCCAAGCTAATAAAAAATAATTAATTTTTCATCACAAAAAATAAAAAAACCAGTTCTCTTCGTATCTCTAACAACTCATTTATTTGTTAAAACAGTATATTTGGGAATATAATTATAATTGTTTTTTTAAATAATTTTTATATTAAAATATATTAAAATAATTTTTTTAAAAAATTATTATTAAAAATAATATATTAAAACGATACAAAATATAAAAAATTAATTTTTAATAAAAAATTAATTTTTTTAAAAATATAAATATAACGGCATTTTCAATTGGGCACTAAACACTCAACGACGGTGTTTTAGGTGTACAAAAACAGTTGGACCAAATGAGAATTATCTGCAAATAAAGTTTTTTAATCCCATCCGCCAAGCTTGCTCAAGCCCCAAATTTACAGCAAAAAAGCTCAGCTTTAAGAGCATCACCGAGGCTTAGCTACTAATTTTACTCAAATCAAGTCCTTCCATTAGTTTTTATTAAAGATAGAGGAACATCTTTGAGTTCAAACTCCCCTTCCCCTCTTCTTTAATGCATCAAAATATATATTAAAAAAAAGTACAATTTTAGAACCAATTTGTCATCAGCTTTTAGGATTTGGAAGTTGAATCAAAACTTCAGAGGAGTCATGACTATCGATATCGGAATAGAATGAGTTATTCAATTATATAAATTCGATTTTTACCTGAGTGTGCTATTTTACTTATTAGTCCTCATTGTAGTTTTTCAAAGAAACCAGTAATAATTAGAAGCAGATTAGTGCACACTTGTGTGATTTTCTGAATAATTTTGATTATATTTTTCTAAAAATAAAAAAAAAATTTGGTCTTAAATTTATAAACCAAAGCAAAAAAATTGAACTACACCATATTGAAAAACTCGTTATAAACTAAAGATATATTATAAACTAAAAGTTTTTTTTCCCTAAATAGTTATGTTTTGATTTTTTTAATCCAAACCTTTGAATCATCACTTGCTCTTACTTGTATTTTAAGGATGTGTTTAAAAACGTTGTGTTTCTTTAAATTTTTAATTATTTCTTGTTTAAAAATATTTATATTTTTAATTTTTTTTAATATGCTATGTTAAAAATATTTTAAAAAAAATATTTTAATATATTTATAAATAAAATATACTTTTAACTAATATTGCTAGTACAGTTCTAAACACATCTTAATGATAAAAAAAAAAAATACTGGCGTTGAAAGGTCTAACAGTTTTTAATAGTAAAAAGGCAGGAGTCTATTTTCTAACTGCCCATGGTGTGTCAAAATTTTCAGTGGTCTTGTTTGAATGGTACACGGTGGCCAATCCAAAAACCTTTATCCAACAATTTAGTCTCGTTATTATTTTATTCCAATGACATTTAAATATTTTATCTGCGGGAAGAAAATTAGAGTGATCTGACTGCTCAACGTATCTTAAGAGTTAAGATTCCTAAAAGTCAAAATTAACTCACATCACCTGTCAGTCTATCATTCATTCAATTTCTAGCATCTTAACTTTTATTTAAAAATATATTAAAATAATATTACTTTTTAATATTTATTTTTAAGTTATATTAAAACAATCATATTAAAAATATTTTCTTAAATTTTTTAAAATATTTTAGAGTGGCTTTTTGAAAATTATTTTTAAATTTTTTTATATATTTATTTATAGTTAGAAAATTTAATTAACAAAAATATTTTTCAGTTAAAAAATTAGATTTGATTTTTAAAAAATATATTTATTTTATTTTAGATGAAAAATATTTTTAAAAAATTATAAAAAATTTAAAAATACCATATTATTTACTAATTATATCAAATTTGATCCTTAAAATTTTTATTGATATATATATTTTTTAAAATTTTATCTCTTAAAATTTAATTTTTATATTTATTTTTATGATTGTTATTTTTTATTAAAAAATTTTATTTATCAGATATGATTATCATTTTTTATTATTATTTATTTTATATAAAATAATTTATAAAATTATAATTATATTTTTTTAATTTTTTATCTGTTAGATTTGATTTTATTATTTTAATTATTATTTATTTTATATGAGATAATTTATAAAATTATAATTTTTTAATCAAATACTTAAAAGTATTTTTTTATTTTTTTTAAATAAAAAAATTATTTTTCACCAAAATAAATAGTTGTTTAATGCATAAACAAACTGGCTTTTATGTGATGAAAAATAACCAGATGTCGTTATTTCACTGGTTTGGGGCCAACTTTGAATTTGTTGTGCTGCGACCTTACATCATATGATTTGCCGCAATCCCATTGTTGAATAAGCAGTATTCTGTGAAATCTCATGGTATTGAATGGATGAACATGATCTGGTCAACAAATTCAATCACTGCATCCCTGGTCCAACAAACATTAATAAATGGAAAATCTTTTATTTCTTTATTATTGTTATTATTATTTAAATGATATACATCAGGAAAATAGGATACCCTGTACTGTTTGGTTTAATTCAAATGACGCTAGGAAGTGATGTGTTAGGAAACATCCAAAAAGGACATGTTCTGCTGGCCAAGTGGTTTTACCAGGTGCCAGTTGACTAGTCATGAACTTATACTTTTCTATTTTATTTTATTTTTAATGCGGTGTCTATATATATACTTTAATTAATTTTATGGATTATAAAATTAATAGTTATATAAATTTTTAATAATTTTAAAATGTATAAAAATTAAAATAATAATACTTAAAAAATAAATTTAAAACATATTAAATTAAATTAAATTATAATCTCTCGAGTTCATATAAAATAAGTTCTCGTATTTATTTGATATTATGTTTTAAATTTTTTTAAAAAAAATTTAATTTTTATTTTAAATGAATATATTTTTTATATTTTAAAAATAATTTAATATATTAATTTTAAAAATAATAAAATATTAATAAGATATTTTTTAAAATAAATAATTTAAAAAAAAAACAACAATTACATTCCAAAACACAACCAGCCTAGAAAAGGCGTCGGGTTTATCCTCTTGTTGGTGGTCACTAGGCAAGAAGTCCTCTTTAATTTTTTTATTTATTTTAATGGAAAGGAAAATTTTTTAAAAATCAAATTAACAAAAAGGCTCAAAAGAAAGAGAATAAAAATTGAAATAAAAAAATATCAAAGAACCAAAATGAAAAGAAAAATCAATTTAACTAGAGAATTTAAAAAACACAATCAAAAGGATGGGAACTACAATAAAAAAAATATCACAAATTGGGTGAAAGGATATTATTGAAAATAAATTAAAATGTTATAAAAAATCTAAGAACAAAATAAAAATCAATAGAATAAAGACTAAAATTTAAATTTCAAAACATAGGGAGGATGAAATTTGAGTTTTTTAAGTGATCTCAGATAAAATAAATTGTGATTAAAAAAATAAGGATCGAATTTAAAATATTTTAAAATCATAAAGAGTAAAATTGAAAAATATTCATAATTTAATATATTATTTATAAATTAAAAAAATAATAGAAATTAAATAGAAAAAAATATTTAGCTATAACTCAATCTAATTAAACCATGAAAAAAAGGTGAGACAAAAAAAACATTAGTCTAGAAGAAAAAAAAAACTAAGCAAAAAATTTGATATTTTTTATGCCAAAACTACTTTTGAAATGTTTCTAAATACAAATACTAAACACGCTCCTAGATATTCTAATTAAGGGATAGGTTATGTAATGAGAAATATACATATACATATATAAATATAAATATATATTATCACCTTATATATTCTATATAAAATAAATTGCATTATGGAGCAAATATGTTTGAAGGTGTTGTAATTAAAATTAGCACTGGATAAATAATATAAATTGAAGATGCGATGGAGCTAATATTTTATGAGATAAAAAAAGTTAAGTTAGTAATGAAAAAAGTTTAAAGATTGAATAAAATGACTTGTAGTAATTCACAGTATTTCATGAAGAAAATTACAATGTTTTCCGTACATCATTTAGCATGTTGCTATATGATTTAGCTTTTTTGCTAATAAAAAAAATATAAAGCTAAATTATCAACTAACTCAATATCAAAAAAATAAAATTGATAAAAATAATTTAAAAAAAAATCATAATAAAAAAAAAACATTTCGTGAAATACTATAGCAATCTACAGTATATTGTGAGGGAAAACTACAGTGCTTCCCTCTTATGATTTGGCTTTACTTGCAATAATTACTTGTAATTGTAATATTAAAAAATAAAATCAATAAAAATAATTCTAGAAAAAATCACAATAAAAAAATTATGAAGAAAAATACTGTAATAATTTATAATGTTTAGTGATGAAAGCTATAGTCCTTTCTCTAATAAAATCAACAAAAATAATTAAAAAAAAATTATAACAGTAAAAAATCATATAAAAAATACTGTAGCAATTCATATTATTTTGTGAGAAAAGTCATGGTGTTTTCTTCACATGATCCAGCTTTACTTGTAAAAAAAAAAAAGAAAAAAATACAAAATTAAATTTTTAACCAGTTCCATATTAAAAAAATAAAATCATAAAAAATAATTTTAAAAAATTATAAAAAATTACATGAAAAAATACTGCAATAATTCATAGTATTTTAGAAAAAAATTAGAAATTAAATTCTTAACCAGCTAAACATTGAAAAAATAAAATTACCAAAAATAATTTTAAAAAATCATAAAAAATATCTAAAAAAATATTATAACAATTTATAATATTTTATAAGAAGAATTATATTATATTTTCTATATAATTTAGCTTTACTGTCATTATTGTATATTTTTAATAATAAATATACCTAATATGCTTTAATATCAATGATTTGACTGTACTGGTATTTTTATTATTAAGGTATTGCATTTATTATCCGCTAAGCAACATAAAAAAACAAATACGAAACCTGTCATCATGAGTTATTTGGCAATTAATGAAAACTTGCTAGAATAAATAATTATGCATTAATTGACCATATTGTCAGTTAATTAAAACCCAAAGTACATGACCTGATGTGAGTTCACACCATACTAGTTCAATTAATAATTAGCAGAAACATTTAATATATATACATATGCAAGACTGGATATTTGTGGTCATGGTCAAAATTATTCACATTAATTAAAGAAACATTCAAAGACATGGCTCAGTATTCCTCTCACACTTATTTTCCTAAACTCTTCCACTCTTCTATTACCTTCCTATATCTTCTAAAAGCCTCCCACCCTTTATATTATCTTTCTGCGTTTTATAAAAAAATATACTCTTTTCAACACTTATTTCTTTCTTCCCCCACCCCCTTTTTGTATGTATGTGTATGCTCATTCAGTGCATAACTTTTTTTTTTGGTTAGTTTCCTTCATTGCAGAAGTTTAAGTTTGTCTTCACATCCAGAATACATATTTTTTATTAGTTTGGTTGTATTTTTTTTTTAAATTAATGTGGGTGTTCAAGCCAGTCACGTACTATGACTAATTCTATGAGTTCTGAAGTTAACGATTATATAAGTCTCCAATAATCACTATATAAATAATTAAAAACTCAAACCTAAAACTACAAAAAAAATAAATTTTTTAATTTTAAAATTTTATAACTTAACCATCATCTAAATAATTGGCTGGTTGTTTTTAGAGAGGTGGGCTGTCGTCATGGCTTTCACGAACATTTACTAGTCATCCATGTCGATTTTTTTGCACGTTTGAGGCTGCTATTTCGACCCCTGCTATTTTGGATTCACACGCTGTTCTCGGGGTTGCTGTTTCCAACTTTTCTTTGTCTAGAATTCTCAATGGGGTGTTAGGTTGACTGTTTAGAATTTAGGACTGGATGATTTTGTGTCTTTTCGACACTACGTTGATGGCATTTGGATGGACTTCCTTCTGCCTAGACAGCCTCAGTGAGGCATTTGTTGCTGGGGTCTTGCCGGTAATCATGACTCTCATGAACGACTGTTTGTATTTGTTTATGATTGTGATAGAGGTTTATAGTATTTTTTATATAAAAATATATTAAACTAATTATTTAATTTTTAAAAATTATTTTTAATATAATTCATCAAAATAATTTTAAATTTTAAATTTTTTTAAAATATATTTTACATCGTGTTTTTAAATATTTTTTTAGTATACCATGTAATTTTTTTATTTTAAAACTATTGTTTCAATTTTATCCTAGTTTGGATGTGTATGTTTAAAGTTTTTTTGGAAATGCGGTGAAAATTATATTTATTTAAATTTTAAATTTTATTAAATATTAAATATTTTTATATTGTTTTAATATATTAATATCGAAAATAATTTTTTAAAAATTAAAAATATTATTTAAATTTATTTTTAAATAAAAAATACTTTCAATTATAATTAGTTGACATTTCCAAACCCCAACAGTACCCTGCAGTTGGCTGGTTATAGCCTATCTTTGTCCCATTGTGTTTTATTGAGAGCCCTTGAATTACCTTTTTTTTCTCCCACTTGCTTTCTCATTCACACGAGACTGAGGAGTTCTGCCTCTTTCTTTATTGTCCAAGAAATTGCTTGACCATGTTGCACATTGGTTATGGTAATTGAGGAGTTCGGAATCTTTATTTTTTAAAGTGTTTTTGATTTTAAAATATATTAAAATAATATTTATTATTTTTTAAAAATTAGATTTAAAATTATACATAAAATAATAAAAAAATATATAAAAATAATTTTTAATTAAAATATTTTTTTAATTTTTTTATGAAATATAATTTATACCGTGTTCCAAATAGTATTAATATATTGATTTATATTAGTATTGTAATGATTATTTTTATTTAAAAATATATTTAAATAATATTATTTTATTTATAAAAATTACTTTTAATATCAAAATAATATTTTAAAAATAAAAAAAATAATTTAAAATAAAAAATAAAAATAACTTGCACCCCGATGAAAAACAATAAATGAATTATATGGAAAATACTATTTTCCCCTTTAGCTTAGTTTTCTTAACTGACTTGATGAAAAACAAAAAAATAATTGACTATTATAATTCACAATAAATTCTCTTTAGTACTTCAATGAATGCCTCACGTCCTATATAATATTTAGAGTCATAGTTTTAAAAAATATGTTTAAATTTTATTTAAAAATTTTAGCTTTTTTTGTAAAGAATTTCGAGAGAGATTTTTTAATAAGATCTATAAAATACCATGGTGTAACTATTCACCAACACACCTAACTAAAACCCCTAGAACATATTATAAATGCATTTGACATTATAGTAATTTTTAAAGTTATAATTTGAAAAAATAAATTTTAAAATATTATAAATTTATTTGATACTGTAATAATTTTAAGGTTACAAGTTAAAAAATAGATTTTAAAAAAACTTATAACTTTTTTATTAAAGATTTTAAGAAAGATTTTTCATTAAAACCCTTACAATACTATAATATATTAATTAACCAAATATTTTTTAAAATAATCGAGATAAAGACAATTTAACCATAACACAATAAAGATTAAGAATGTGTTTATTTACATGATTATATTATGTTTAAAAAAATTTAAATTTTTTAAATATTTAAATATATTAATATTATAAAATAAAAAAATATTTTAAAAAACAACGAATTAAAATTACGATCATTTTCTATTCATGCCCTACAAACCTCACTGAAACTTCGCGTGCGCTTCCTCGTAACTTCTCGCTCATTTTAAAGCCCACCAAGCACGCTCGCAATCCTTTACTATTACTTTGTGTGAACAACAAATCAACTCCAAAAATTAAATAAAAAATCGCATTTCTCTCTAAAAATTCTCTATCTCATCATCCGTCAAACATATCGATGAAGGTCACCGCCGACTCTTGTCTCGGCGCTGATCAAACGGCGTGGCCGCCTGGGTTCAGGTTTCACCCGACAGACGAGGAACTTGTGCTTTACTACTTGAAGAAGAAGATCTGTAAGAAAAGGACAAAACTCAATATTATTCGGGAACTTGATGTTTACAAGTGGGATCCTGAGGAGTTGCCTGGTATGCTATCTTTTTCATATTATTTCTTTTTGTTTTTTAACTGGCGTTGATTTGAGTTGTGTTTTTGTATGATTGTTAAGGGTTTTGGTTTTCATTTATGTTTTGTTTAAATTTGACCGGAGGATTTCGGGATTGGTTACAGGACTTAGGGAGCTGATAATGGTTAATTAGTATGT